CGGTTCAATTGAATTATCAACTGATGTTCCTTACGTGGTGCGGGCCAAGCTGGTATTAAATAATAAAGAATCTCAATGAGAAGCCAATAGATTCGCAAACACCCGACAATAACCAAAAGAGTCTAAAACTCCAAGAAAGACAAATATTGAAGCTAATGGACTTCATGAAGTATCACAACTAGGTTTTAGAATATGTTACAGCTACAGGGATGATATGTGATACTAAAATTGTGATTGAAACCCTGGTATCCAGAGTAACTAGGGGTTGTCAATGGAGGTATTATCTGTTAATCTGGTAGAAGAGCTTCTTGTGAATTGGTGGGAAGTACTCCGGAAGATATCTGTGAGTTGGGTAGGCGGTTATGAAAGTTTGAAGTTAGGTGACCTTGAAAGGTTACAACTATAACTATCTTCGCAGATAAAACATGTAGATGAAACTAATCATTTAATCAATAATAGAGACAATTGGGGCCAACTCAGTTCGACTTGAGAACTAGGCCATAAGTCCAAACTCTCTGATGATTGGATAATTACTATTGAGAACAGTATGGTTCCTAGTTAGTTATATAGTAATTATCAAAGAGGATGTGGTAATTTGTAGGATTTGTGGGTGTTCACACCTTGAAAGAAGACACGACAATACGAGTTATAATCAGAGCGGTACATCGTTGTATAATAGAGAGATGTAGTCCACGAATACTCAGATAGGGAATATAAATATTGACGTACCTTCTAAGCTTTTAGACATCAGAAATGAAATAGAGAAGAGACCTTAATAATATAATATTGCCTTTATGATTCTATTGTACTTTGCCTACTTGATTTTGCTCTTAGTATTCATAAACAAAATGAGTGAAGTCCGAGCCTTTCTGGACAATCTCCATCTATAACAGCGAATCGTAGTTGGCCTAGACAGTTGTGAAGTCTATCAGCTGGTCTCTGCCTAACCATATATTGTTAGATCTCCTTATTACCAAGGCACTATATCTATCTACCTATTCCCTCCTACCGAATGACATAGTCAGGAGACCAAGAGTCTCCCCGCATATTTCAAACAAGTAGAAATCTCAAAAAGCCAGGACTTCTGAACTCCACTATGAGAAAGAAAAAAAGCTCACAAACGAGTAAGGGAAATGGAACAATCTCGTAAGCAGATTACCTGTGGAGAACTGATAGATACCTCTGGAGATGATCACTGTACAAGTATTAGTCATTCATCCTCTCTACTACTGGCTCTCTAGAAACCTTTTCAAGCACAAGCATACAAAGCACCCAGTGTCGCTCCGTCATCCAGAGCCCCCTCTCCTGTTTTGAGATTCTCCACACCCCATACAAACACCACATGGCAGACCTCATAAGACATGCTGCTAGGGTAGGAATACATATAGGGCAAATCCGGCTAGATACCCTAACCAGTATTGATACTGCCAATATTGCCTTAGACACTCCATCTGCAATGAGACACTACAGAGTACTATTACAGTTAGCCAAACTAATACCTATACTGGTATCAAGAGACTGCCATGGTAGAAATAGTGGTAGACTAGAGTCTACCGAGTGGAGGTACTATTGGTTAGGTATTTCAGTTAAATATGCTATACTATATTAAGATGTATATGGGTACTGGTAAGGAGCAGGGATTACTCTAGTTAGTAGGGTAAACCAAATAGTCATTTTGGGAGTTAGCCTACCTTCGGATCAAAGTTACCCTACCATTGAGCCAAGTTACTCTACCTTGAATGTAACTTGTTATGCAGGGTGTCAGAGGAAGCTACTAGATTGTTTATCACACAAAACTCTGTGGAGTGTATGAATCTCAAGTTGTACAGATTACATCCGCACAACCAGTTGGACTCTGAACAGGCTGTAACTTGAAGGTGTGGTGGCTAACACCTCCGTTCGGCTCCGTTATAAGTCTCTAGTATCATGGGCTATAGCCTAGAGAGTTGCTATTAGTCTAATAAAAGTCTCCAAGTTAAGATGCTCCTGTAATACCGTACAGGCTCACACCTTCCGTCAGACAGGTGACTCTTCGCAGATTATATGAGGGGGTAGACATGAACCTGGAGAATGGTCTCCTGGTAGTTATGAGCGAATTGGACTACAACTGATGGAGTAATACTACTTTGAAGTTAGAAGTAGTATGTGACATTACCTGAGGTCAGTGGGTAAGGTAACTGAAGTCGATTGCCCAGAAAGTATAATAGTATTAGAGAATCGTTAAGAACTTTGAAACACTAGTCTGGGGTCATGACAAGTGCTACATTGAGGAGGGTTAACTGTAAGTAGTGCCTATTGGTAGTAAACCTTTAGAGAAGTCTACCAGGAGAGCTGCATGGCTATCATTGGAAATGATATAGAATAGAAAAGAACTAAATAGATACTCAAGAGCTGTGGATGCTGCTAGAAGTCTAAGCGAATATGGGTAGAGAGTTCCATAGTTGTATCACATCAGCTGGTGGATGGCGGTTCACCACGGATAGGTCCACGATCTGAAGAGTATTTACTCCTGTTATTGCATTGTAGATGTAGCGATTAAAATATTTCTATTAGGTGGATATTAGGAAACTACAGAGCAGTCTAGTTCATTATGGAGTATCTTTGGTCGGACCTATGGAGGTTAGCTAGGTAGCACAAGTGAGTTGAGTACTTGCGAACAAAGAGTAGTAATGGGGGGCAACTGGTAGTATATAAAATATACTTAAGGATGCGCAAGTTCTCCTCTAATTAGGCAATCAACTTCCTCTCCAGAGTAGGACTTAATCATGCAAAGCTGTAACTTAAGGATATTAAGTTTTACTATTTTGTTTCTTCAAACTCAACTGTTAAGACTTTGACATTTATTATATTTGTTCACATTCGCAGAA